GTGCTGCTGTCTACAGACAGGCATTCAATCACAGGCATGCAAGAGTAAAACATTTGAGTTCTGACAGTCAGTCTCCTAGGAATTAAATGGAGATGTCAAAAAATGCCTGTTTTGAGAGTGTTATCAATACTTCATGATCAGTTAGCCAGGATCAATTTATATTGCATGATTGGTGGGTACAAGGCAGTTAGAGTTGCACTTGTTGAATTTGGATGTACTGTTTTCCTTTAAAAAAAATCTTTTAAAAGAAAAATGTTTAGATTCTGAAGTTAAACACTCACAAGCTAGGAAATATCAATATTAAGATTGCACACGCAACCCTTAATGCAGTGTAAATATGCAATACACAGGCATGCATTCTGTCTCATTCATTGCATAGAATGAACTTGATCATGTGAACATGTAATTAGACTCTCATAATGCATATGTAATATATGCAAGGATAGTTAATTCAGCTTACCCATGAAACATAAGTTATGACATTTCCTAGCTTTAGAATGTTTGACTTTGTAATCTAACTTGTTTTACCATAGCCTCTGTAGGTATTTTTTTTACACCATGTCATGCTGTTTAAAACAGCCAGGCCCACTACAGCGTGGGAAGTTGAGCAAAGAGGGCGTGGGGAGAGTTGCCCAACAGTGTAGTGATTCAAAAGGGGCCCGGCCATTGCTGCTAAGGCAGGAGCACAGGTAGCCAGAGCCCCAAGGCATGTGAATTACAGCTGGAGTGTCAGGCAGTGCACAGAACTGGCTAGGAGGGAGGATCCCTGTAACACCTCCCCCCCTTGCCACCACCCCCCCCCCCCCCCCCCCACACACACACCTTTCCTAGGGGCCTGGCAAGTTTAGTGTCCCCCATCCCCAAAAAGCAGCTGATCAGAGTGCCCTATGGAACTTTGCTACCATATATAAAAAGTCCACAGGGCCAGCAGTGCTCTATACATTTATGCCTCCGCTTGCCATGTGCTAATTCTGTACATAGGTACGTGAGTAGGAATAGCCTAACTCTGCTATTGAAGTCAGGGGAAGCAGCATTAGGCCAACAGTTTTTGAAACTCTCTCTACTTAAATTTTGTTTGCCTATTCCATGTCTCTGTTTTCCCTTACAATGTTTTTTAAACAAGAAATATGATCCAATGAACAAATTCAGCTCTTTAAGGTAATGTGTCCCTTCCCCATTGGCAGTGCTGCTTGTTTGTAGAGAGGTACCTCATAAGTATGTTTGAAAGGTGTATCAATTAACAGGATGCTGTATTTTTACAAGTCAGGATTGCTCCAGGAATTTGTTGCCTCTTCAACATATGTTCAGATTTCAGTTCTGTGTATGCTGGAATTTCTTCGTCAGTCTCTAATTTGGGGAGTCAGTACAACTGATGCACAACCTTTCAGGCATATTCTCTATGCATTTCCTGCAGTCACTGACCAGCTCCACTGGGAAGGGTAGGACTACAATCACATCTCCTTCCTACTACTTTTGAAGTGGTAGTTGACTAGGGCCCTGCATGCAGGATGGCTTCTTATGCCCATCTGCCCTGCAGAGCCATGCTGTGATATAGCTTAACACAGTATTTTCTTCAGCGTAATGAAGGTATTGTAATATTCGTGGGATAAAAGTCGATAGAGTGCTCCATTCTGTAATTATACCCCCAAAATCCTTTCTTTCTGAAAGATATAATAAGTTACCATAGAAAGGAAAATCTTGTCTCTCGCTACTTTAATGGCACAGACCATTTCCATCACCTAAAGGAAAACCAATGGTAATCAGCTGAATTCATAATGAAATATTTTTCTTTATAAGAAAGCAGTAAGTTAAAATGTTTAATTATCTAAGAAACTAATACTGAAATGCATATTAGCAGATGTTTTACTAGGTATGACTTATGGATCTCTCAAATAGACTTTTTTCCACTGTATGTTTTTCACTGAACATTAAATGGGGTTAACATAGTGAAAAATTAAATGCATTTCCACTTTACAGCTCCCTGCTTATGTGTGGAGAAAAGCTACTTGTGTGGCACAAATGCCCTTCTTTGTTTCTTACAAATAACTATTCAGTGACACAAAGCACAACTGTTATAAAAGTATTAGTATGCAGATGCTCTGCTGTTTTGTTAATGCATTTAATTAAATACAATATCACTATTGTTTTTCTCCTTAATTGAATTTGTGTGATGGTATAGAATCTAAACCAGTGTTAAATAAATAAAATTAGTTATTGTTTCTGTTGCTCCCAAAGTCACTATTCGTCTTCATCTAGAAAGCTATGATGATAAACCAACAAAATCTGGTAAAGTTTAGATCCTTCAATGCACGAATGTGTAAGCACCCTGGAAATAGCATAAAAAGAACTACACTGCAGAAATCAAAAGAAGGTAGCTGCAATGGTTTTAATTGATAAGTATCACTGCTTAAGTATAATTTTATCCCTGAAGGCAATTCTTAATCTTTTTTAATTGTAGGGAAGAACTGAACTTCCACATTTCCAACTCAGGTAATATCCAAAATTGCATGCCTTACACGTTAGCCTTTCCACGAAGATAAACAGTAGCTAATTTACTAATCTGTACTTCTCAGATTATTATTTGTGTAGGTCTCTGTTCAGAGATTCTATCATACAAATACAATTAATATGCTTAGAATAATTTTGTTGCCCATTGTTTGCATTGTGATCAGTTGTGGCCTTGTTCTCAGTCCATCCCCATTAAACTTCTTTTAAATAAAAGAAAGAAAACCGCAGAATGCTCTTCTTTTCAGCAGTTTAGTGCCATGTAAAAACTAAAATGCTAGGCTGAATCAGCAAGGGGCAAACATCGAGCATTTAGCAAAGCACCTATGTAGTCTGATCTAGATTCCTTCTCAGTGCAACAACTGTCAAATCAAATTGTGGAATTTCATGAGGTAACTAACAGACATCATAAACCCACTATATGCCCAGTTATTCCTGCTCCTACTTAAGCCAGTTGGCGTTTTGCCAATGACTTCAAGACTTGATTCTATTTCTCCAGCTGATCCCAGATGAATACTCACTTCTAATAAGGTTCCTTTGCAATCAGATAGGTGACTCTTCACACATTTTTTTCTTTTAAAAGCGAGCTTTTGCTGACTGCTGAAAAACTCTTCAGAGTTATTTATTTACTACTGCGCCTCATTGGAAATTAGCTTGATTTTACAACACACATTCTGCATCAAATCACATGATTTGTCAATGGAAAGGGGAGCCACTCCCAGAAGGGTTGGAGAATTGGAGAGTCCCTCTATGAGTAGACAGGTCCAAGCTAGTGCACTTAAAAAAAAAAAAAAGGCAATGTAGACATCATAGTATTGCTGCAGGTTGGACCCAGGAAAGTCAGCCAACAGGGGTTGGTCTCAGGTAACCAGCCTGAGCTGCCACTTCAAGCTGAACTAGAGTGAGTATACCACACTATAGAAAACACATCTGAAGGATAATTCCCTCTGACTTCCAAATAACACACGTTGAAAAGTTGGCATGAGTGTAATGTTTGCCATTTTACCAAACAGCAAAAAGGGCTGGGGCCTTCGCTGAGAGAGGTATACATGAGGGGATAAAAAAAGAAAAGGTCAAATGTTTCTCACAAGCAGACCGGAAAGTATAACTAGCACAAGAGATGGGGAATGCTATTTCATAGTTTGGAAAAAATGGAGAAGTAAATCAGGCTAAGGCTGCATCTACAAACAGCACTCTTAGCTCAAAATAAGCTATGCAATTTGTGCCATGCAAATTGCATAGCTTATTGTGAGTTAATTTCAAAATAGCTTATTTTGAAAGCTATTTTGAAATAACGGGCATGCTGTCAAGACGCGGAAAACGCTATTTCGGGATACTGGAAGTATCCTGAAATAGTGCAGCTGTCTAGATGCACCCTAAGAGATTTGAGTAATGAACCGGGGAAAAATGTTATCCACTGCAGCTCAGATCCAATGGGGATTTGGACATGAAAGAATTCTAACAGACTCATACAAGTGGAAGTTCTATCCTGTACAACGTAGAGTTCAGAGTCAGAAAAGTTGTAATGACATGCAAAGAGGGACTGCAGCAGAACTGGAAATACAGCCTCAAACCTTTTTATGATCTTTAGAAATAGCGGGGAGAGTGGTCAATGTAAAGAAGTCTTACAGCCAATAGAGAGATGGCAAGTGAAGATATTGATAATAAAACAGTTATCACCTATAGGATAAGCATTGAGATGATTTGATGATGCGGAAAAACTATAATTGCAATTATTTTCAAACACCTTTAATTATAAACATACTGCCCCTATTCAGATTTTAAAACTTAAAAATGATTGAGAGAACAGTTTTGTTGCAAGATAGATTAATTTTCTGAAAGGCATTTGGAGAGAGAACATATTCTATGGATTTTGCATGAAACGACTAACTCAAGGCAAGTGAAAGAAAGCAGCATTGTTTCAATGCTCTGTTTTTCATAGGCCTGTATTCATATCTCATTCTTGTTGTTTGTAGGAGAGGCAGATGTGAACCAGAACAATGGGACCTCCACTAAGAGCACAGCGGTGACAGACTCCAAGGGCACAGCAGACTCAAAGAATGCCTGGAAGGAGGCCAACCCAGCTGACACGGTTGGTCGCCCCCACTTGATCCGCCTCTTTTCCCGTGATGCCCCAGGCAGAGAGGACAACACCTTCAAAGATAGGCCCTCAGAGTCAGATGAGCTACAGACCATTCAAGAGGACAGTGCTGCAGCTTCAGAGAACTCGGATTTGATGGCTTCACAGAAACGCTCCTCGTTCCGGCACGGATCAAAAATGGCAACTGCAAGCACCATCGACCATGCTAGACATGGATCTCCAAGGCACAGAGACTCGGGTCTACTTGACTCGCTGGGCAGATTCTTTGGAGGTGAAAAACATGTTCCCCGGAGGGGCTCGGGCAAGGTGAGCTCTGAGGAATAGAACAGTTACAGCAAAATGAAAAAATACAGTTAAAGGAAAGGGTGGGAGAAAAGAAAGGTGAACTGTGTAACCACCATAGAGCAAGAGTTGATTTAGCTAGCACTAAGGTATTACAGGTGTCTGATATGGTGTTTATCTTCAATAAGAAATACAATAACCTAGCCCTAGAAAAAGTTATGAGCTTGCAACAGAGCATGTTTATCCGTTTTTAGTGAGAACAACTCTTCCACTGTCTGGAACTTGAGTATTTATAAATCAGGGTGTGGCTCTGAAAACATTCCTGAGAGACTTGTGAACATTTTGTAAGTGGTGTATTGTGTGTATATTGAACAATTTTTGGACAAAAGCTTCAGGGTGCTTTTGCTTTTTCTTTCAGGACCATTTTGTCTCTATTTTATCTCCACAGTATTGTTAGTTTTGAGAAACATTATGACAATTCTGCATGGGGAAGGATTTGAAATGGGTCTTTTCCCTTCTCTAATTTCTGAGAGTCTTTTGTTGGAGTCTGTCTTACCAGCATCTATTGTTAAGTTAACACAGCTTTTTAAGACATGAAAGTGGGTTGCTGTGGAGCTAAAAATTATCCTGAAACATGAATTTACTGTGGTCAAGCTATTTGAGCCTGATTGCAAGGGAAGGACAATAAATCACAATTGTACTTTCAAATCTTCTGTGAGCTGAGTATTCACAATTATTAAATTCAGCTTAAGAAAACATCTCCAATGTGATTTTTTTTTTAAAAAAAACCACCCATTTGGGAAACAGAAGTGGTGAGAGGTGTAAAAAGTAGTATATACTCCTACCCATTCCAGAATTAATATATAGATTTATAAAAGGCGCTGACATTTCCTTAAAGCTTTGGTTCCTTGACCTGTTGTAGAACTTTTTGAAGAGCCTGTTGCTGTATGAATGTAACAGCTCAGCATGTCTTCATTTGTGGGGTGTGGTTTTTGTTTTCTTTTTCTTCTACGGTAATCTTGAGTGGAAACTTTGCTTTAACAAAATATCACTTGAGTGGGTAGATGAAAAACCATTCACTTCTGTGTTCAGTGTAGTACAAAATACTCAACTCAGGAGCAGTTTCATGTAATTGTCCTCCCTCAGAGAAAATCTGTGATGCTCCCAGCAGCACCTTTAGACATGTTAAATTAACTAAGCAGCTATAATACCTTTTTGTTGTGCAAAATACTTGAGAAGTTTAGACTATAATAAAACCATACTCTAAAAAACTTAGCATGACTGATATAATAAAACATATTTGCAAGCCCTTACTGAACGAGTCAAGTATAGCTCCTAATAATTTTCATTATCAATATGGCCTAGTGAATAGGACAGTAGGCAGAGGCAGGTTCTATTCCTGGATTTGCTATTGACTTGCTGGGTGACATTAAGTGAGTCATTTAACACCGCTGTTCTTCCATCTGTAATTGGGGGATCATGTTTGCCACCAATGAAAAGCTCTATTTAAGGGCAAAATATTACAATGTTGTTCGTGCAGCAGCTAATGATATGCACTGAGCCATTGTTGTCTTGATAAAGGAAAAACTTTTCTTAGAATCCCTTGGCTTTTCTTGCTAACATTGCAACAGGCATGAGCCACTCCCAATACTGATGGTGATTTGAAATGGATTATTGAATGTGGTTGGCTACCTTCAACTCTTGCTATTAGTGTATGATCACAGCATTGAGTGATCTAAAAGCCAGTATGTATTTGCTCTTTACAGGTCAGGAGATGAATGTAAAATAGTATTAGAATCTGCACACAGTAAAATAAAGAGGCAGGTGTTATTTTTTTTGTATTGTAATGGAATCAATTTTCAGTGGTGGTGGTAGTGATCTAAATTTGGGTGCCAATTGTAGATTCCTGTATTTACCAATTATTTTGAAGTCTGTATTTAGTCACATACTATACAATTAAGTACCTGCTCTCTTGTATCTTGCTTGATCTTTGGCACTCTGCTGTTGAGATTTTTCCACTCCAGTCATTCCTGAACTTAATCTAACAAACAGCACCTGCAAAGCAGAAGAAAGCTTTTATGCCTGAATCCAGACATTTTTTAAGTCAGGAAGAAAATGGTTTTTTTAAACTACTGCTTTTAATGTTTTAAAGTGATGCCTTATGGAGTTAAGCTATAAGCACTTAAGAACTGGTATCTTGGCCTAAGTCAGCTAACAATGCTGATTTCTAGTGCCAAAGCATCTCGTTCACAGAAACAACAATGCTGATGAATTAAAAACTTATTTTAGAAATCCACTCCAGTAATCCAACAAGTTCCCCAGCTGTGTGTTTTAATTAATGTTTCAGGCAGCTTAAAATCAGTGTCATGTAGTCATGTTGGATTATTTAGATGTCAGGAAAGGTTTGTGTTCCATAGCTTTGTGTATAAATAAGAGGAAATCTATATTTCTGATTCTCAGTTGTACTTAACACCAAAATAAATTTAATTGCTGAATTATACAGAATTGTGTTTTAAAAAAAAAGTTAAACTCCGTGTGCAGCAAATCTGGAAACTGTCAGAGTTCTTTAATAGATGGCAATTACAAAGGGGTATAAAATGTATTTTGGGGGCTGTGTTGTTTATGTTGCTAGATTTAGTTTTGTAACAAGCGTGTAGCTTTGTGAATTTAAGAGCTATTCTGCTGCTGATGTGTTTCTTGTGGATTCTCCCTGACTACTGCTATCCCATGCACCACTAGGAGCATATATCTGAACAGCCCACACAGTAAATATTGGAATGTAGAGACAACACTTATTCTTTGTACATACTGAGAGCTGACATTCAGGCAGAACACATTATAAATTCCTCATGGAGGCATATTCTTCTTACTCCCAGGGGTGAAAAGTACATTAGTTAATAATGTTCTCTATTGTTTAAAGAAAGGTGGGGTGGAAACAAAATAATATCTGTTTTGTGGCCTGCCTGGAGCGAGTTCTCCCTTACCCTGGAATGCTGGAGCTGTGTTAAGGAAGGTGGGTGTTTTGGGGGAGTAAAGTAAAAATAGAAGCTCTAGAATTTAAGGAGAGATTGTTTCATTTCAATGGTAACAGCTGTGTTTGCCATTTTTTCTTCCCTCTACCAAGATTTTTAATAACTGAACCATATCAATCACACAGAGAACATTTTTTAAGTACAAAAATCCTAATGAAGTCCTCCTTGTTATGTAATCATATAGGGCTTGAAGTCTGCCATGCTTATGGTAAAACCATTATCAGTACTAGTGGAGTGAGGCTTAGTAAGGATGACAGAATCAAGCCCCTACTCAATGATGGTACAAAGAAAGATTTTTCCCAATGCAAGACACAATTTCTCTGAGGTGTTAATGGTGTTTCCCTTTTAATCACTATAGCATTTAACGTGACACATTCCAATTTTTAAAACTCAATAAAAAATGTAGCTGTCAGAATAATCAAATCTGTCCAACCCCATTTGAAGTCTGTGGTCACAAATACTGTTTTTGCAAAGACTAAATTTGTAAATTACATTATCGGAATGTGTATTTCTTGATTTAATTGTGGAATTACTTTCGTTTTCTATCAAATCTGGGATTGTGATACAGAAACATGTATATTCCAAACTTTAACATTATGTGCTGCTAGCTTAGCAAACTAGGTATGAATATGTGGAACTTGTGAAAGACTCCTTAATTAATAACTCAAGGGCCAGACTTGATTGAAATGCCAAAGTCTGTACTTGTAAAGGTACTTTGTATCTTCTTTTTGCATTACTGTTCAGTAAGCATGCATTTTACATTCACAGTTTCAGTTTTCATGTGCCATTTAGATAGGGCCCTGGTCCTACACTTCTTTCACAGCCAAAGGAAGTTCTGAGAGTGTAAAGAATAGAGTATCAGGGCATAGTATTTTCTTTCCCAATATGTGAAGCAGTACATAGCATATTTATTACATTGAGCTCCTTGATCAATAGGATTAACTGGTGTTTCTAATACTGCAAACAAAATATTTGTTCACCAGCAGTACTCTTTTAAATAATAAACGTACATCGGATTTGCTAGAATCACAGCTATTTCATTGGGTTCTTTTAACAAAAGAAAAAAAATATTTTTATTCCATGAGTGTAAACTCCCCCCATTGTCTCTCTCGTTCAAGATTCTAACACAATGCACCCAGGCCACTACGGGTCTGGGAAAATATCAGTTCAGTGCTTAAAGTATAGGAAATGCTCAAATTGTAACTGTTTATTGTGACCTTTCTTCTTTTTTTCTTTGGGGGGGGAGGGTTGGGGGAGAAATCCTCTTGTTGTGTTATCCACTGTTTGTACACTTACCTAATGTAAAAATAATGGGCTTGTAAAAAAGTATTTGATGTATTCAATGATACGTCTTTATGTTGACTGTAACATTAACATGATTTTGTTTTCATCTTTTGCTTTATATGTGCTTCAAAATTTACATTCATTTATTAAAGTCACAAATCTGCTATACTAATTTCTTAGTTTATTTTTTAACTATCTTATTTTATTAACAAAATGCAGCTAGTCACATTTTTTATTTTTACTCACTATACCCTGATGTATGTGAAATGGTGGGTAACATCAGGGGACAGGAAAAGATCAATCAGAACTTACTAATGAGAGAGGATGAATATTAGATTTAACTGAGCTCAAGGAAAAAAATCGCATTGACAAGAATGAATTAGGAATGTGTACATTTTTAGTGATTCATGGGAGTACTGGTGTTAAGATGTCAAAGCAAGAAGTCACATTTCTAATTTACCTCAGTGAGAGCAGGATTGGATCCGTATTTGGTAGAGTGCGCCATCTGAGTCTACTGGATGGTTGGTGAAGGAACTGGATGTACACTTGATGGAACATTCCGTGATTACAAAATTCTCTCTCCTTGGGGAAAAAAAAATACATAGAACGTGAAGTCAGCAAAGGAACAAAAATACATAGAACGTGAAGTCAGCAAAGGAACAAACAGAATGATCTACAATGAATTAATGCATGATGTCTGGGTGGCCATTTCTGGTTAGGTTTTCATCTCATTTGTAACTTTGGTGCCAGCACCATTTCAAATTTGCTCTATAGTTTCCTGGTCCATATTTTTTATATTGAGTCACAGAGCCAATTCCGTAGAAGGCGTCTAGAACTCATTCTGATCTTGTTGCCAGATTCTGGGCCTGTCCAACTTCAGAAAGCAAAGCTAGACTTAGCTGTTTGACCAGACCTTGTCATTAAGTAGAGCATGAGGATATCTCGACTTTGCTATGATATACCCAGGATTTGAGGCTTGTATATAAAATATACAGACCCCTCCCCAGAGCAAGAGTAACCTTCCTCTATACACAAAGGCTGTGTCTACATTTGGCAAGATTGAGCAAAATCTTGCCACCTGTCTTCACTGGCCGCGAGTATTTGCGCAAGAACACTGACGTTGTAATGTACAAAATCAGTTCTTCTTGCGCAAATACTCTGATGCTCCCGCTCAGGGATAAGCTCTCTTACGCAAGTAGGCCAATGTAGACAGCAACGTTAATTTCTTGTGCATGAAAGCCCGATGGCTAAAATGGCCATTGGCGCTTTCTTGCACAAAAGAGGGTCTACACTGGCACGGATGCTTTTGCGCAAAGGCATATGCCAGTATAGACGCTCTCTTGTGCAAATACTTTTAATGGAAAAACTTTTCAGTTAAAAGTATTTGTGCTAAGTCATGCCAGTGTAGACACAGCCAAAGAGAAAATATCTTCTGGTGCAGAGAGTTTGGCCACAAACTAATCCAACTCAAGATCAAATGGTGAGATTTACATGATACAAAACCCTTCTCTATGCAAGGATGAATATCTCCCACTATGCACTGTATGGGTATCATCCAGTACACTCTTTGCTCCTTAATGTAGCCATAACTTTGCCCTACTGTTGTAGTGTTTTACGTTAAACTGTCTTAAACTGTATTTTCTAGTCTATGGTCCAGCTAATCCTGCATCTGACTCTACTAGTGCCTCATTATTTGCTACATCCTTCACTTTTATAATCTATAAATCTTCTCTGAAATGCCACAGCATGTTCCATCCCAGGATCTCAAAGTGCTTTACAAATTTTAATGACCTTGTCCTGTAGCACTCAGGAGCTAAATATTATCCCCTTTACAGATGGAGTTACTGACTGAGCCCCTTCTCACTCCACAAGCCTGCCATTGTCAGGAATCCATTCCAGGTTTTCTGCCTTTAAGTACGATTGCTAAATAAAAGCCAAAAAACTTAACTAAATTTTCATCCAAAGGTTTTTTTTTTAACCTGAACTGTTTTATAAAACTATGAAATTCCAGGCCTCAACCAGCCCCTGCTATACTGATTCTCAAGCAAGAGATGTTGCTTTTCAGAAGTATCCAATTTTTTTTAAGTCTTTTTACCAGGACCTCCATACTACTGGTGCAAGTTTACTCTGTCAAAGCAATTTGATGATGATTGAAATACACTATTATATTGTGTAGACACACACAGAATGCTTGATCCCTAATTGATTAACAAGCCTCTTCCTTCTCCTTCCCCTTTCATTTACAATGGGCCTGTTTTCTCTTTTACCTTCTGTCATAATATACTTTTAGCCTGCCTCAGTAATTGTCTCTCCCATTAACAAGATTGGATTTAAGTTGGGATTCTGATTCGGACAATCCTTTCTACGTTTCTTTTCTCTTATCATAAATCTAGTTCATGGTTTAATTTACCAAATTTGCAAACTGTTCATTCATAGAGGAGATGAAATCCATGTTTAATACTCCATGCTGTCTTCCTTCATTACTATCGCTGTTGTCTGAAAGTCCAAAAAGTTAAATCTCCATCAACTAGCATATCTATAAGCCTAACATCTCCTTACTTCTAACTAGCAGTTGGTAACATACCAGAATTAAATTTATAGCTTTACTTTCTCAAAGAATGTTCTACGGTCTGCTCTAAAATGCACAAAGTATCTATAAAAGTGCACAACTACCAGCTCAAAGTTGAATATATTTATCCACCTTCACAATAATATATCAATAGTCAGAATAAAGCGGTCCTATTGCAAACATTGACAGATAAATATACATCAGTCATCCTACTGACAGAAAAATTAATGGAAAAAAGTACTAATTTCTTCATTCTGTAGTCCATGTGAAAAATATTTAACTCTATGGCAACACACCCACTACGTCTGATGGGAATAGAAGACTCTCAGTGACATTCAATACCTAAAACCTCTTGGCCACTAACCTTGTTTTACAGCTGGTCAATCATTGTCTCATATCCAGAGCCAGTCTCAGGGGTGGGTAAGCTGGGCCGTTGCCCCGGGGCTGCCGTTTTCAAGTAGCCACGGACAGAGTTGGTCTTAGGGGCAGATTGCGACCACATTTTGGTCCGACCACCTGAATCCTCCTCTCAGGTTTCCCTGGGTACTCCCCAAGGCCCCCTTTTTTTTTGCTTGACAAATTTTTGTCTGGGGGAAACCATCTGGCAACCCTATGAGCTCATATCATCCTTTTTTTCACAGAAGCAAGTCCAGAAGAATTTTTATAGTGGTCTATTCTAACAGTGTCTCCTCTCTCTAATTTCCCTATATAGTTGACTCATATTATACATATTGTAATCATGGAATATAGACAAAGCCACAAGACAGGCGAGATTGTGTTACTGTTATATCTAATCATATCCAGGACATCTGACATGTGATGTTTGCAACTACGTAAACAGACAACAGCACTCCCTTTTTCCTCCAAAAGGCACAATAACTGGGGCATCTAAAAACATAAGTTATCACCAATATTTTTCATTCCCCTAAAACGACATGGATAGTAGAAAATAAGCTTAGGTAAAAGAGGTTAGGTGGTGAAAATGGTTGCAGTCCGTTGTTTCCCTCTTCTTTTCTCTCTCAGTTATGCTATCTTTTTGTTTTCTGGTTTATAAAATGTATCATTTTATTCCTGTCCTTTATCTTTCCTAGGAGTTCACTAATGCACAGGATTAAGATTCTTAAGGCATTATTATTTCTCTAGCAAGTGACCTGCTGTGCTACCTTGTGGAAGTCACTTGACTTATCTGCCTCAGTTTCCTCATCAGTAAAATCTGAATAGCTTGCTTACCCACCTCATTGGAGAGTTGTGGGGCTCAGTGTGTTAAATTTTTGTAAAGTAAGTGGATGCTGAAATAAATAGTATAATTGTTAACTTTTATTTATATCGGTTTCAGACCAGCAGGCGAAGAAAAGAAATATCCTGTTAACACACTGAAATGCTTTGCTTGTAGTCTTCACTGGATTTTTGTCAAACGGCAAACACAAACATTTGTGGAGTGTCTAAAATAGCATTTGCAAAGGTTAGCTAACAAGTTAATTGGCAATCAAATCCAGTTAACTTGGAAGCACAACCTCTTTTCTAATGTACCTATAGCTCTGCAAGGCAGATATCTAAAACTATAGTTATAATATGCATTTGAAAAAAAGGGTTCAGCCATACCTAAAATCGATATCATTCCACTGTTTGCTTAGTGGGAGAACTAAATAATAGTGTGGAGGCAAGGCTCTTGAAATACAGTACCAATTTTTTACTGTTTGTAACTAACATGCAACATGGATGCTGAGCCAATTGACATCTGTACACCAGCCTTGAGGTGGCAGCAAATTGTTAGTGATGCTAAGAAAGACTGGGCCATTTTTCCATGAATGAAGTAGGTTGTTCTTATCAAAATATAGTGTGTGTTCACTGAGCATCTGAATTTACATGTACAAAGTGAGCATTTCTAGTCTGCATTTACCCACCAAACACAAGTTTGTCAAGATAAGGACTAAGGAGCTCAGTTTTTGCCTCCAAAAGCCTACTATACGTTCTACTGCTTGCAAACACACAAATCCCCCCTGAAAATGATAAGACCTCATGTAATACACATACAATTAATTATATAAAAGAGTAAAAACACTTGCACACTAAAACTCAATCCCAAAATGATATATTCTTTCAGTGGAGATAGAATCTCAACTATACACATTCTTGTATGGCACAGAAAGATCTGTGGGTTTTTAATTTTCCCAAACTGCACAAAATTCTCATCTTAAGTCAGCAGAAAGATTATTTGGCTTCATGGAGCTGCTTGATTAAAAACAGAAAGACCAACAACTTGTATTCTACAAGGATATTACTACCTCCAACATAGCTATTTCAAGTACTTTTAATACTGGGTACACCACGTGAGTTATTTTTTAAATCAATCCTCTAAATTTGCTGCCAAAATATTTCATCTTCCAATGAAATACTAATGATACAATAAAATAGACTACATTGACAACTTTTGGGAAATTCTACAATATTCCTTAATGTTCTAACCTCCAAGATGAAAATTAATCCTCACTTGATTCTAACTAGTGTCTCTCGCTCTCTCTCACACACACTCACTCACACAAACACAGTGTGATAACTCCTCTGTTGAGTATTTTAGCATACTTTGAGAGGCAACTTTAATTTGATTCATTTTCTTAAATGTGAATCCATTCTTAACATTTTTGGTACTTTTTTCCTCTGCCCAATTACAAGTCTCTCTGATTTAAATACCAGGAGGAAGGAAAGATACAGTACAGCTCACTCTTTCATGCAATTTTTTCCTGAAAATGAACTCAAAGACCTACCAAAAAGAAGCATTAAAAGTGCATTCCAAACCACAAATAAAATGAAGTTTAGCTGAGAGAGTGTTCATCAAAAAAGGATATCACTACTCACCAGAATAAGTCCACTGACAATATTCCAGCATGCCCAATTCTAGAACTTCATGACTGCCACTGATTTCATCAATTGTACTGAGACTTGCAGTGCTAGTGATAAGGGATTTGGGGATATTTTCTGCCATTCTTTAAGCATCCACTACATTGCAGAGAAGTGAAAAATTTTTAATATGCAAATTTAAATTACTCGTGCTGAAGATCACTACATACTTATTAACAGGAACATGCTGCACAGAAATCTCTGTTTAACTCAGTTTTTGCTGTGCAGTTCAACCTCTAACGTTTTAGGACAAATATCAAGACAAACTGTTAGTCCTCTGAAAATCAACCCAGCTGTTTTTAGCTATTCAGGAACTGTCTTTCACTAGGTGTTTGTACAGTGTCTAGCACAATGGAACGCCTATCTGTTGGGGTTGCTAGATGCTCATTTAATATAACTAAAAATAATACTCATATTGGCTTCTTACAGAACATATACAACTATTAAATAAATTGGCTTTCACTGAGAGATTCTCTGGCCCTTCACACATGATCCATTTATAAGATTAGTTGAAAATGAGTCCTGGGAAGTTGCAAACTGACAAGTTCCTATATGACAATAAAATCTCTTACTCACGATTTAAGCCCAATTTCAGAAAACTAATAGGGAAGGGTCTTTATTTAAATTAATGACAATAGAGATGTTATTAAGAGAGCATCCTCAAATCTATTTGGCAAGACAAAATAAATGGGTTACTCATTACACAGTCAGGGGCAGAGGACCGTGGAGCTAAATGTTCAGGAGACTAGTAATAGAACTTTTCGCTTCTACATTATTAGTTCATACCCAGCCTAGGAACCTTATACTGCACGGTATCAGATCCTGCAACATCAGTGGGAGCAGAGGGTGCCCAGTCAGAGAAAATTAAGACCTAGTTAACTTTCAAAAATTGTCTGTTTGGTATACCATATAAAATGAGCTGGAAGTATCACTTCAGTCCCTCATGGTCATGTTTCTTCATCACAAATTGAGTCCCTTCAAACATGTTTTCCTTTAAAAATAATCTAACACCAATAAAATAACTTTAAAGCATTTTCCTCTGAAAAGGACCCTGTGATGCAAATTTGGCCTGAAACGTAGCATTTGGAAAAAATATATTACTTTAAAATTTACAGAATATTGAAAGATTTCAAGGAGTGTTTTTGTTCTTTTTAAATTCCAAATGAACATTATTTCAATATTCAAAGCTCAAACTCTGATTTTGTGCTAATGCATGACAGCTATAAAGTGAGATTTCTAGGAAACTAAATACAATGTACAGTTCACAGATTCCAAGGCCGAAAGAGACCATTGTAATAATCTTCTCTGACCTCTTCTAAAACATAGGCCACAGAGCTTTCCCCAAATAATCACTAGAGTATATCTCTTAGACAATTTTTAAATGAGGACTGGATGTTTTTCTATGACAGAGAATCCACTACTACTCTTAATACATTATTCTAGTGGTTAATTACACTCACTGTTAAAATGAGCACCTCATTTCCAGTTTGAATCTGTTTAGCTTAAATTTCTAGCCATTGGATTGTATTATACCTTTTTCTGCAGATCAAGAAGCCCATTATCAAATATTTGTACTCCATGTAGATACCTACAGACTATAATTGAGTTAACACTTGACCTCATCTTTGTTATGCTAAATTGACTGAGATCCCCGAGTATATCATAACAAGGCATGTTTTCTTATCCTTTATCATTCTTGCGGCTTTTCTCTGAACCCCCTTCAATTTATCAACATCCTTCTAGAATTGTAGACATTACTCCAGCAAAAGTCACAAACAGTGCCAAATACAGAGATAACCTAACCTCTCCACTTCTACTCAAGATTCCTGTGCTTATGCATCCAAGGACTACATTAGCCCTTTTAACTACAGTATTACACAGGGAACACATGTTCCGCTGATTATATTCCACAACCAACAATGTTTTTTTCATTGTTACTGCTTCCAAGAATACTGTTTCCCCCATCCTGTAAATATGGCCCATGTTTTGCTTTTATCAGTATTAAAACAGTTTGTTTGTACCCATAATTAAAATAATTAGTTCATTTTCATCCTCCACTTGAAGAAATTTGAAAAGTACTTTTCACAACATTGTTTAAATTAGATTTTAAAAATTATTTCAGTTCTCATCTAAATTCCAGATGTGTCGTTATAACAAAGGCTAGAAATTATTCTAAAATGAATTTAAACCAGACACTATCATCTTAATCATCAGAATATTATTGTCACTAATACATTTGTTAATTTTTACTGATTAGAGGCCTGAGAGCACATTTACTTGCTCAATTATGTATTGAATTGTTATAGGCGCACTCCTGATACAGTAAGATTTTTAAAGGTACAATGGAAGATAAATTCAATTAAAAGACTTCATGCATTTGAAAATATAATTTGTTGAATTGCATGAGCAGTACTGCAGTATCTAGCATCATGTTTGTACGAAGGGAAGTCAGACAAGTATTTTGTGGGATATGTTGTAGTACCACCTCTTACATGCCTGCTACTGATTACAATAAAGTAATCACAAAAGGTTGACAAATGCTATTAAGAGTAATATTAGTTTAACGATAAAGTGTAAAATAAGATAGTGAAACAGATGTGTACACTAACAGATTATGGTTTATAAATCATCATAAAGGGAGAGCTGCTTTCTGCAAACAAAAAATAAACACTGTTTTATCTGAAAATCCTAATATCATGGCAGAGATTTAAACACTAAATTAAAAACTTCCCCGCTTTCCCCAGTGTGTTTCTACATGAATGAAATCATATCCTGTGTTGAAAAATGAGCTTTACTGTTTCTCTGAGGCATGGTAACGTGGGTACTGTCAATGCATGTGTCAGAGAATTGAGGTAAATTTTTAGTACAGGGAATACACATAATGGTACAACTGCTATTAATAATTAAAGTACTTTCTGTGTATTTCCCTTTGCAATAAACTCAAGGTTATTTCTTTGTGTCTGTCTGACTTGGAGCCCAATTATACAAGGTTGTAAGGCCAATATTCATGAAATTTAAATGAGTATGGCAGAATCCAACTTTTGCTTCCTGAAACAAAAAGGACATTTTACTGCTCAAATCTGCATGTGTAATTTTACTCATGAGAGTACTTCCCATTCAAGATGATGAATACAGTTGTGGCTATGGATAAACGAACATCATTGGTAGTGATGAGTTAAATATCTAACTGCTTGCTAATAAATCCAAGGAGGTGGGAGACATTTTAACAAATTCTCAAAATGTGGGAGGCAAAAGCTCAAAAAGAAAGCCCAAAAGTACATATTTTGAACTGGTTCTTTCACCTACAGTAAGAACATCAAAATCTCAATTATGGGATAGTTGTAATGTAGTGGGTCACAGCAATGTGACTTTTCCCCATTTTAATGAATAAAATAAACGTCATTGGAATTCCAAAAATCACCAGCAATAAACTACCCAAAGAGTTCTCACACGCTTTTCAGCTGATGGCACAGAATAAACACAGCTACAGACAACATTTCTGAATTTGGGTTCCAAAAACTAGACTCATATTTATGCACCCAAAGAGGAGATCTGATTTCAGAAGAGCTGTGCATCCACAATTCCCTTTAAAGTTGATTTGAGAGGCAGGTATTCAGAACCTTTACAAATCGGGCCACTCCTGAACAGGGATTTTGGAAAGTAATCTGAGTTGAAAATTTTTGGCCTATTACTTTAGATACAGAGTATAATAAAGTGAAATGAAAAGCTGTTCTTGGATAATTAATTAAGTTTCACCAAGAAATTCTTAGAAGCTTCTTTTTAAAAAGTAAGTCATCCTATATATCTAGTATAGCGACTTCATTCTGAAATGATACACTGGAATCTAGGTCTAGGCAGCTCTCTCACACTGTATTATACAAAAACAGGCCCACGCTGTGCTGTGAAACTAGTCAAGCTGAGAGAGACCTAAGGTTTTCTTTCCCTGGAACACAGAGCACAGATCATTTACTACTGCCAGCTGACTGAGCCTCAAACACCAAACTTCCTGTAAATATTGAGGAATTGAGTCTTTGGGTATGTCTACTCTACAAGCTCTATGGTGGCACTGCTGCAGTGTAAACGTGCTACAGCAATGGAAAGGATTTTTTCATCACTGCAGTTAATCCACCTTTTGAGAAGCATAAAGTTGACAAATTCTTCCATTAATTTAGCAGTGTCTGCACCAGGGCTTCGTTTGGACTAACTACATCTCTCAGGGGTTAATTTTTCACACCCTTGAGCAGTGTAGCTAGGCTAGCCTACATTTTTTTGTTGTTGTAGATCAGGTTCTGGTTTCTGTATACACAGTTTGGACAGAAGTCTGGCTCTTTGTTAACTGTTGACAACAGTGTAAAACTCATACAATTTAATGTCAGCACACTGTTTTAAAATGTACCTGCAAGCAAATTGGTTTGTAAACCAATTCATTCAGTCAGTCAGTCGGTCAAAGATTCTCAAATCAAGACTAGACTTTGTGAACATGTTCACTGAATGTAAGATAGGGAAACAAATCTTGCCTTATTAATGATTACCTGAGGGGTTGGAAGCACTGCACAATATTAAATCTGATGCAGAAGCTTAACATTTATAATAGGTGAGAGACATGGAAAATCCTGTGAAACTGTCTGATAATGTGCTGCAGACTTTAACTGGCAATCTGTGTGTCACAGCTCCATCTGGTGATAGAGACTTAGATCTCACTGTACTAAGTGGAAACTTCCAGTATCACAAGGAAGCAGCAAAGGGTAAATATGGCCTCTTTTAAAAATATAGCTGATGTGCAGTGTGCCCTTCAATATTTATTAAGTTATCATATTAGTACCTAGCATCTATTTCAAAACTAAACTAGTGTATGGCAGACTCCAGAATGTAAGAATACAAAATTCATAGACTGGATGAATTAATTTCAAGCCTTCCAGTAACAAAAATTGAGTAAATAACTCAGCAGGGGTTATGTTTTACTTTCTCCTTCATAAGGCACATACAATACTGCCTTTAATTTAATTGATATTTTGATTTCTCTCTTAAGCATCCTCAGAAACTGCATTATGGCTTTTTTTAGTGAATTAATTTTCATAGGTTGGTGGTAAGCTATTCTTTTTCTTTTGTTTTTGTGGTTGTAAGAATGTTTTTTTCCAATTTAACTTTATTTTTCGTTGGTTTTGAGTCTTAGCATATGCAGAGTAATAAAAAGCACAAAGTGCTGCTGAAAAGGGGAGTAAATACAGCTCTTCACAAATGCACCCTAAATTAAGGGTTTAGAATAATGTGTTGACAGAGGCTAAAATATGAAGCATGCACTGCATCTAGAGAGCTGATAAACTTAACTCTGTCACAGGATGATCAGCAAAAACAACAGCTCACTTCTTGGTCTTAGGACCCATAATCAACTAGCTCACCCCTCTAAAAAAGGACCACATCAAAAAACTGTTATAATGAATTTTTTAGCACTACAAACCGCAAAATCTACATCCAATAATACTTAATTCAATGAATGCATACCTTGCATGATACCCTAGTCAATAAACCAGATTATTGGCATATATTGTATGCCAATAACTAATTACAGAGCTGCATGGTTACTTAGTCTAATTTTTAAGTCATGACTAACATACAGTAAATGGAACAAATATAATCATTCCTATTACACGGGTATTTATCCTTGTTAACATTAATCTAACAAGTACACATTTCTAAACAAGATTTTAAATGTTATTCATGACAATTTTCACATCTAACTTTCTAATTCCATTTTATTTAATCTACAAAGAACCAGTATCTCAGGCCTCTAGCCAGAAACTTCAAATTTGCCACTGCACACCGTCTAGTTAAGTCTAATTAATGAAGGCTTACAGGGTTTTTTAACTAGATAAATGCAAAATAAAATCATAGCAAATAATTA